AATGTCAAGAAACACTGCGAATGTCGGTTTGTGATAAGTCTGTAAGTGTCACAACATTCAGCGGAGAATGAAGATACGATCAACACATCCTCGACCAAAACGTAAACCAGCCTCCTCCTCATGGAACTTTGACAATCTGCGAAGCATGACTGAAGAAAACAATTTGGACGCAACCAAAAACAGGGTTGTTCCTCAATAGTTATTGCATAGGTAACATCTATCGGCTCATCCCACGATGATGTGATACTACCTGACTGCCAGACGTCTGCAAATAACTAAGCCATTTTCTTAACCAGAAGGTCACTACCGTCTTTAAAATGGTTGGAGGTAAGCCTTCCAGGCTTAGTGCTTTGTGCTGCTTCAGCTTGAAATACTATTTCACGCACAACACATTCCTTGCTGCCAGTTGGAAGAGCTACTCACACTTATCAAATTCTGCTGTTGGTGCCTGCAGAAACCCAGTATTTACAAGCGAGACATTTTGCGAAGCCACAATCGACTTTGCTCTCCATTTTTAAGGCGTCACGCAATCGCAAGCAATGCTCATATATAATTTGTGGTGATATGGTAGCTAGCCTTGAACCTAGTTTGCTTTGGTATTCGGTTGAAACAAAAGCCGAAACCGATTAGTTGACATCGACTCGTTTATGACGATGAGTTTGTTGGCCATTGAAAAGTAAGATAAGATTCGCGCAAAAAAGGCCATGATCAGAGTCCCGGTAAGTACTACAAAAAGAGCGACAGTCTTGTATTTATCCACGCCAGCTGTAGCTGATCGTGATGTGACCATTTTTGATCCAGTTTAGGGATGCGAAAGGAGGGCGTCAGATGCCAGCATTAAGTGCCAGCCAGAAACAGGTTAAAGTCTGTGCAAAGTTGCATTAGACGGCCTGACCTGAGACCAACAAGACCTCTGTGCTTAGGCTCCTGACCTGCACGATAACGTTTCCGGCTAGTACTACAATATATCTCGAATACCTTTTCTTTAGAAAACCGTTTAACTGGTGGTGAACCTCATCTTTCGTTGCATTTGGGCTACAATCTGTTGAAGTGTAGGCAGAGATAACGAACAGACATCGTTTCTCACACGTATTTCTTACCATTTAGATGGAAGTTTCTTGTCTGACAGTACATAATTGATCATCAGTGAGAATTAAATTGATCAGTACTGACTCATCGTATGGTAACAATTACTAATATACGATGGAGAACACATTCAGACAGGAGATAGAACAATGTATTTAATATGAGTATGAAATATAAAATAACATTCAACAAGGACCACGACTGCGAGGCCAAGCCATGCCATCCGATCAACTCGAATTCATTCAATTCATTTTTCCCGCCTACTCCATTGTTTGGTTTTTCCTCGCGTTAAATAGTGAACATCTGTTTCGTGTTCAGCTTTGATGATTGTGTGGTTAGGGCCCAATGCCACTACATATTCCTAAATATTGCTTTTACTGCAAACCAGGACAACTAAAACACATGGTTTCTGTCTGAATAATCGTTATAACTATGTTGCAGAAGTATATATCCAACTATAACGTGGTTGCGTGAATTGTCGTTACAAACTCTGCAACAGTTTTTGGGAAGTATATCATCGTTAGCATAACACGATTCGGTAATGAACCAATCTTTTGCTGAAAAATAATTTTCTGTGACTTAAGTCGGAACAGCTGAAACATAATTTCCTATGGCTCCCTTCAACAATGATGAGAGTAATGTAGTTTAAAAGCCAGTATATCCAGTTGTGCTTTCCACCAAACGTCATTTAAGTGATGAGAACGTCTGTGGCTATTTACATCAAAGTCAACTTTTTTTTAGTTTTACATTGTTAACGTCAGCAATCAAACGTGCACGAACTTGAATACGTATCTGTGGTGGACGAAATATATCAGTACCAAAATAATGATAGGCGACTAATAATTAATAAGTAAACCTAAATTTCATATTCCACTATATCTTTATCGTATTAACTAATTAACAGATATTACATTCAAAAGTTCAAATCAGTTATCTTATCTGAATATGCTAAACAACTGACTGGAACATTAAAATAACTCAGACTTTCAATTACAAATACACTCTTCCTCATTGAATTCATTCTTTTATCTTTATTTATTTTCATTTTATGCATGCTGTGACATTTTTGATTTATATCATATATAAAATGATATGTTTTCTTAATATTCACCGACCGAAGACAATATATAGTGAACGAAATATCTTCTTGTCATTTACGTATACACATAATCTGTTATCTTAACATTTTTCGTTTGCGGTGGACCAGACGATATATAAACGCAGAAAGTATCAACAAAGTTAATAAAGATCAATAGAAATGTTAATATATATAAGTTAATTATTACAAACACAATATAAATTTGGAACGTTACTTAAATTGACCAAATGTTGCGTGTTCTGATTGGGTTCGGTATTATAAATCCACAATTATAAATGCTTGATGATTCTGATCGGGTTGACGAACTCTCCAGTGATATGATCCAACGTTGAATGTCATATATTCCAATTACAGTCTATGAATGTAGATAGTATTTGATTTAGACTTCAGTTAACTCAATCACAAACGAAGACAGAACGAAGAATGTGTAAGTAGTAGTGTATTTGTTAGCCAGCAAGAGGATGTCACGCTATGTGGTTGCACAATGGGAAAGTGTGTTCATGGTCATTTACTAAAACAACAGTTGCAGTCATTTAATGATAAATATACATATAGTGAAAGGTTGACAAGATAAATACAAATAATATTAAAAACTATTTACAAAATAAGCTTGTCAGTCATATCTCCACACATTTCCTACAACATGTCTCTTACACACTAATGTAAATACATACTTTAAACATTGTTCACGTTGATTGGATGACTTATCCAGTATACAGCAAACCAGAGAACCATGTGCCTATTTATATTCGATAATTTTGATGTTTGATCATATTTCTTTGAAAAAGCTTGAACCAGATCGTCAGGCAAAACGTTGAATTTACTTCAAATTCAGTTCCTGAGATTTTACAAATACTTTCTTTCCCTTTCATTAAAAACTAAACACCTAAATACACAATAAAAAAGCATAAGAATACACAGCTTTTGTATTTGACAAAAAAACAAACAAACAATGTGGTGGACCAAACAGTATATTGACCAAAAATGAATAGCAATAAAGTTATTACGTCCAAAATTTAATATAACAATAAACAACTTATAAATTATTAGCGCAGAACAAAAGTTCAGGGACGTTTATTAAATCAGCTGGCTGTTGCCTGTTCCGTTGTGCTTGGTACCAAAGATCCACAATTATATACAATTAATAATTTCAATGAGGTAAATATGTCTCCAGCTAGTTTTCTCGACGTAGAATGCAATAGGAATGTCGCAACAGTCTATAAATATAGTTGATAGTTAATCATTGGTTTAGTTATTATATCCACAGACATGATAGAACAAGGCATGTGTGTATAAGAGTGTATTTATTAATGCACAGTTAACAATGCCGTGCTATGTGTAATTCAAAACGCAAGTTCGTTGTCAAGGTCACATACTTAAACAACAAGTAAAATCGTTTAGTGATAAATGTACAGATTGTGGAAATAAACAAAATAAATGCAAAAGCTACCAAAAACTATTTACAAAATAGGTTTATTAGGCCTATCTCCACAACAGTATCATCAAAAGATCATCTGAAATTTGATATTTGCAATTAACAACGATTAGTTTTCATCAGTTTAGGGGTTGTGGACATTGTTAAGTTTTTGTTTGAGATCATGAACCGATTGATGCTAGACCGCCATTGAGCTAATCCGCGTCGGGAAGAAATATGTGTCTACCTCAGTACAATGGAAGATGGTCGCGCAACTTCGTGGATTGACTGAGGTTAGACATTGACACTATTGGATACCGGCTAAGTGGTCCAGTAGGTTAAGCGTTCGCGCGCAAGACTGAGGGCCCCGGGTTTGAATCCTGCTTGAGAATTCGTGAATACGCACTGCTGAGGGGTCTCACAATAAGACGAAACGACTGTCCAGTGCTTCTAGGCTTTCAATGGTGGTCTAACATCAATCCGTTCATGATCTCAATCAAAAACGAATAGTTTGCCATTCGTTCAGCTCTTAATTGCTGTTACATTATAATACATATACTGTCTTATTTCTGACTTCAGCTCTAGTCCATTGGTGACTTCTAGTGTACGTAGTGTTGAGATCTATGGATTACTGGTTCGTACTTGCTTACTTACTTCTGTTACTCCTAATGGAGCATAGGCCACCGATCAACATTCTCCAACCCGCTCTGTCCTGGGCCTTCTTTTCTAGTTCCATCCAATTCTTGTTTGTTTTTCTTATGTCTATCTCCATTTCCCGGCGTAATGTGTTCTTTGGTTTTCCTCTTTTCCTTTGAATTTGAGAATCCCAAGTGAGGGCTTGTCTTGTGACGCAGTTGTGTGCTTTCCTCAATGTATGTCCTATCCACTTCCAGCTCTTCTTCCTGATTTTTTCCTACACTGGGATCTGGTTTGTTCTTGCCCACAGTAGGTTGTTGCTAATAGTGTCCAGCTTTTATATTACACTCATTACTTTTAATTCTGCTTATTATCAAGAATTATTTAGAAAAATCATTGAAATTTTCATCATTGCTTTAGTTTACTGAAATCCATAGAAGTTTAAGTAGTAAAGATGTTATGTTTATTTCAGTAGTTATTTTTTATTCTACTTATAATCACCATAAAATGTGATCATTAAAATTCAATAATAATAACAATTTATACTGACGTAAACAAAATAGACTCCCATTTCCTTCTATTTACAGATTAAATTTCAAACTCCTCCCATTTGTAATATTAGACTATATAAATATGAACTTAGCTACTTTGGATAAATACCTATAATTCACTTGGCAAACGTATATAAACATATTAAGGTATGATAAAATAACTCATCACTAAAACTGTCCTAGTTTAGTGAATTTTGGTTGTGTTTTTTTCTTAATGGATGAAAATCTGAAAACAGTAAGTAATGTGTATTTATACAAATTGTATGTAAAGTTGTTTATTTATGCTTAACAATGAATTTGAATGTTTCAAATTGAAATTTATAAACAGGTTTAGTTTTTAAATTTTACATATCACTGTAATAAAATGTGTAAATAAAGATTTATACTAACATCTTTGATTTCTGTGAATATGTTTATTAGTCAATGAAGAATCTTCAGTTCTCATCGAAATCTTCAGATTTTTACATTCAGTTTGATAAATTAATACAATATCGATATGACATCCTGTATAGAATTTAGTGTAAGTAAATACAATTAACGTAGGTCTTATAGGTCTTGGTCGAAACTTACACTTATCAATGATGCCTTCTAAAATGTTTACTGTATAATCTGACTCAGATCAAATTAATTTATGAATTATCGCTTGATGTCATGGATAAAACGTAAATTTTATGCTGTTTGAAGTATCTTATACTGCAATAAACCCAATTTATCACAAAAGTAATATATTTTTATCTAACCAATATAGAAAATAATTTTTATTGATATTAAAAGTTTATTTAGCGACATTTATGGTGTTTACAACAATTTTTAATAATTTCACAGGTTGAAATCATGAGTCAATTGAAGCTAGACCACCATGGAAAACCTGGACGGCCGTTTCGTCCTAGTATGGGACTCCTCAGCGGTGCGCATCCACGATCCACGAGTCCCATACTAGAACGAAACGGCCGTCCAGTGCTTCTAGGTTTTCCACGGTGGTCTAGCTTCAATCGACTCATGATTTCAATCAGTGAAATTTCTAAAATCTCCACAAACCCCTTCTGATAATAGATAATATTATCAAATCCCCACTAAATAACAACTGTGAATCACAAAACTATTTACAAGCAGTATCAAATTTTAGATTCTTTCTGATGATTTCATTTTATATGACGTTGAAAGTTTGACAAATGGACTGTTTAATCCATAGATTGTGACACTACTATAGGTAATATAAACTATTCGAAATTAAACATAATGTGAAAGTGATATTTAATTCTTTTTAAAATAAATGATTAAATTATCAATCAAGGCTACCTATACTATCAGGACTGAACAATCAGTGGATAAAATTACAGATTTGCAGTGAAATTTAAAGTTAAACACTACAATTCAAATGGCTTTGTAAGGTGAAATTTCCACTCTTTTCTATTTCGTTGACTGTAAAATGCTATCAATATTAAGATAGATTAAACTATTCTAGTGATGGTAGAAGTTTTGTTTCTTCGTTATCTAATGATTTAAAGTGTAATTCCTAGTCGTATCATTTGGATATTTATATGAACTTTTGATCTACCCATTTATTTGAACAGATTTAGAACATTCACTTGGTGTTGTTTTACTTGAATCTTCCTATTAATGTTTAAGACTGCCATTTAACAGTCGCATGTTGGTATATGTGCATCCTGTGCGGATTACTTCGATATTGCCTTAAGTCACAAGCACTATAAGCAAAGATCGATAAAGGCTAGCTGTGGAATACAGGACGCGTGTTTCGTCCTATTTAAGATTCGTCAGCTGGATGTATCTGCATCGCAGTGTTGATGTTCACTATGGGACTAGAACCCTCCACTGCTAGCCACTAATCATCTTTGATTATAAATATCATAATAGTTTGAATACTTAGGAGGTGAGAAGCGTTGACGATTCTGTATTTATGTGAACATTTAGTAATAATTTCTCATGATTTCTCATGACTATTTTGGCAAATTAGCTTGGATAACATACACTGAATTTATTACTTTCACAATAAACAAATTAGTAAACCTTAGCAATTGCTTATCCCTCTTTCTCAGTAATAATTGGAATCTGTTATTCAAAAAATCCACTTAATCATTTAATCTAACTGACTGTACTGTACTACATTCAGTATAATTTAATTTTATCATCCAAATTTGAAATCTTTTTGCTATTTCCAAAATGAAAGAGAATTTTAGATTTTTCAGTTTTTGATCTTTTAGCTTATTTTAATAAACTTGAGAGTACTTGTCTTCCAATTGATATTTATGAAAACATCCATGAAACTGTAAAAACATTTGAATAATCAAGGAAGTTGTGGGTTATGAAGCATAGAAAATAAATCTTTATGTAATATGATCTTTTTTTCCTAGACTTTAGTTATTTTATTAGGTGAAACTAATAGGTGTAAGCAAAATTATCATCAGATATATCAAGTTTCAATAAATTGTCGGTTTAAAACCGTTTGAAATCCAGGAATAGAGAATTTATTGTATATTTTTACTCCATGTTAAGGATGAGGATTATCTTATTGTTAAAATCTTTATTTAATTCAATAATATTTATTGATACAAGCCTTTTTGAAAGATAAGTTCACTGAAAGAAATAAAAATAAACCATTGCATACTTTATACACGAATCATGATAATGTTCTAAATCTAAGACTGATCACTTGCAGTCCTAAATAACAATGGAAAGATACAAGTAAAACAAAATCATGTGAATTTAAACTTCACTCCATTGCACAAGCAAGTGGCTATCAGGAATCAGTAACTAAGTGGATAACGCGATGGCATTTGAAGCAAACGATACTGGGTTCTAGTCCCATAGTGAACATCAACTCTGCGATGTAGGAATATTCAGCTGATGAGTCCCAAATAGGACGGAACGCGTGTTCTGTATTCCACTGCTAGCCGCTATCCATGTTTGCTTACAATGCTTGTGACTTAAGGCAATATCGAGGTAATATGCACAGTAAGCAATAAGAGACTGTTAAATGGTAGTCTTAAACATTAAAAGGAAGCTTCAATTAAACAATACCATGTGAATTTATCATGATATTTTCCTATCATTCTGCTAGTGTGAAAATATTCAGTTTCATATCAAATATTTGACCTAATTAAATGGTTTTCTAATGTACATAATAAACAGTAATTTTATGGACAATAAATAAAAGAAGAAAATGATAGGTTAAAAAGGCGGTAAATAGTCTACGCTTATGTATTTAGGAACAAATGTTATCCTGTAGATTTTCCATTTTTTCTCTTAGTGAATAAGTCTTCTTAATATGTTTAAATTTAAACTTTATGTTATCAATTATTATGATGGTGAGTATAAACCATTTGGTAGGTATGGAAGTTTTATTAATTATCTTAGGTTTAGAATTACCACGTTCAGTTCCACGCCGTTTTCAAGGGATTAACAAATTTTCAATGTATCTTTTATTTTAGAGAAAACTGTTTACTGAACAAACATGATTAATTTTATTGTCTACTTTATTTCTGTTTCAAACTGTGTTTTTTTGCATCAACCATTATTTATTCGTAATACTTATATGAATTTTTACTATTTTGTCTTTATTTTGGTCCGTTATTCAATAGTTACTTTTGTTCTGTCTGTATAATTATTACATCATTAAAATGTAAAGGTTTGTATAAGGACATTTTTTGTATTTCGGTCTAATAGTTTACTGTGGTCAATGTGGTTTGCGCCATTACACCCGTATGGTAATTTTTCTCTTTTTAGGGTATTGTAAAAGAATCAGATCTTAATCCGCAAAATGGGAACGAAAAGCTTAGCATCGATAATATATATCATTTTGGTGGTTGCCATCAATCTCATCCAGATAGTGAAAACCTAGAGAAACTAAAAACGGCCTTAAGGCAAGCCTTGGGATTAGATCCAAATTTACCAAAACAATGTGTTATGATGGATTTGGAACATCAAAATAGGTAACTGTGATTATTTAAAATGGTTACCTTAACATTTATCTATAATTTTCCATCCGTAATTTAGATTATCTTTGCTTGCAATAGAAACGCTAATAGAACAAGAAGATATTGATGTACATCCATATGGAAGAGGTGGAATTTACGAAGGAATATTGTACAGAAACAGGCCAAAAGAAAAAATTAACATCATTTCGGCGTTTATTTGGTTCGTTTTTGTTAGTTCGGTTGCTATTATGGCTGGGACAATTGTCACTGTAGCAGGTAAATACAAGTTGATGTATAAGTTTGGTATTTATAATGTTTGGTATTTATAATGTTTATGCAGAGTTACATGAACTAACGTTGTTATCTTGTAACCAAGAGCTTAAGGATGAGTAAAATAGTTCGAAAACAGGTAAAGTTGTATAAGAATACAATCGATATCAACTTGTGTTCAAAACCACTGTTAAAGTTAATATGGTAACGTTCAAACAACATTTTAAAATTTTTTCATATCACGCTTTACCACCATGATCTAGGTATCAAATGAAAATCAATAGGGATTTGATAGCTGATTCGTTCTACTCTCAAGCTATTTAAAAGTTCGTACCTACGGATCAAATTTAGGACATTTGGGACTTGGAATGGGTGTAATACTCTAGACTGCGAAGGTTGGATCTCATATATCACTATTTCGACTTTATATAGTTCGTGATATAATCTGTGTTATTGAATAATAACAGAGGTACATACTTCAATACCGATAAATACAAACACCATAGGTCTGATGATGTCACGGATATTCAGAGTTTGACAACGCTTATGTTCGTAATACCTTTATAACTGAAAGATGCTAAACCCAGTCAAACCAGAAGTCAGTAGTGAAGTAGTTCGATGATATTTTTGAAATTTATTCGATATATCGACGTAAGCTGACTAGTTGTTACGACGGATACGTAGCATAGCCAGAATTTTAATCTTAACCAGCATGCCGTCTGTAAACACTCTTCTGATGGCTTCCTACGTTCAGCAGCGCTACAAGTCGTTTCTCTTTACATAAGTTGGGGAATCAAAACCAGGATAAGACAGTTTCCATGCGTCTATTTGTTTACAGTTATACTTCAGTGACCTCAAACTAACTTCAGACTGAAAAGTCTACACAAAACCCTATTTTATACAGTGACTCTTTTGCTTTGTAGAACTTTACTACTTCTTGAAGTCAGAGAATACGGATGAAGATAAAATAGCTTTTTGTAACTTTTTTAAAAACTGTTTGAAAGTCAAGCCATTTCAATGAATAATTCTTAGCTTATATTATTGACAATGCAAATCTATAGATCTATAGAATAAATAGTACATTCAGTTCTTTAATTATGACTTATCTGCTGAAAAGTAAATCAGTTTATTCCTCTTTGAGTAAACCTTTTAGTTCTGATAGTTCTTTAATTTTCTAGACTACCGTTCTTACTTTAACTGAAATAAGTTCTGTTAACATGTCAAAAAGAGTACTGTTTCTCGGATAGTTTGTGCTTATGTTTTTTTTATTATTGAACTATCATTGAGTTGTTTTCTGCTTTGTATAAATATCTGCTAATTTGCAAACCGGTATTCTTTAATCTCCCTGTTTGTGCAGTAGCATTATTACGTCGTAACTCGCATGCACTGTAGACAAATTGCTTAAACACAAACAATGTGTAATCATAAGCTTTATAGATTATACACATGGCTCGAACGTACATTCTTAATCTATACACCCAAAAGGTCTGTCATGACACTTGTTTTGTTGGCACACAAATCAAATCTCGACCGTTTCAAAAAAGTGTAAAGTTGACTGTCAAATCTGAAGCGTCAAAGTTTAGAAATCAAACACTGAATAAAGAGGCGCCACTGCAACAAAAGTAAAGTTTTGAAATAATAATTCGATTTCAACTACACTTTACGAAGTATTGAATATGAACTATAAATTGAACAAGGTGAAATAGGATTATCATGTTTGATTACTACTGATTAAAATATACAACAAAGCACTCATTCCTTGAAATAAAGTAGTCAGTAAAACTTAAAGGAGGGGTACTTAATAAGAGAAATACAGTTTTATTCTTGAGTTACTCATGTGAAGTACTTGTATCTCACAAATCCATTAACAAAACTAGGACATCGTTGTGTTCCGAAAGATGAAAAGTTAACCGTGTATGTGAACTTTATTGACATTGGCAAGGCTATTAAGGAAGTCTCACACATCAAATTATCACCAGTGTTAAGAGATTTCGAAATCAGGGTCACTTTGTTTCTGTGGATAAATGATATTTTAGCTAAGCAAAAAGGCGTAGTATAAGCTTACTTCAAGTTGTTTGGATGTACAACAGTGAGCATATCGGTGAAATGGGGTGTTTGTTATTCACTGTCTCGGGTGAAATATGATTTTATTCTTTTTTCTTCAAAAGACGCCAAAAGAGAACAAACCTCTGTAAAACTCTGTTGCACATAAACTATTTATTGAATAGAGTTGATATTTTGCGTAATAAGATGAACACATAATGCCAGTTTTATAATACAATGGCATAGTGAAAATTTTCTAGCAATCTTAAGAAATTTCAGCCCCAGATATCATTGACCTCCACAAAGCTATCCATTAGTGAAACGATATTCAACATCGGCTTCAAAGTTTTTATGTGATTGGCTTAGTTGTATAACATAGTCAGGTATATAAAATCTTACAACAAACAATTATTTTGAACGAAACTGTGCAAAACGTACCACGAAATGTGTCGAACAAACGTCATAAAATGACATTGATGGCAGCAACGAAAATTACTAGAAATGGTGAGAGTAACTCATAAAATTTAAAAATCCATATTAATTTAAATGATGAACATGGAGTGTTGAAATCTTTATCTTCTGATCGTCCTTAGCGAAACCGAATTGTTTACCTAGTTTGCTGGGTCGTACACTATGCTTTTAAGTAATGATATGGTTGATTTATAATGATGATATATATGATTTAAAAAACAGTTACCCGTTACGATTACTTGAAATAAACTTTCGACCTTTGTGATATTGTTGGTTTTTTTGGTCTTACAAACTTAAAAATACGTTTAGGTAGTGGATTATTAAGTCTAACGTCGACCCTGAAATGACCAAACTATACTTTCACGCTAGTGTTGAAATTTTGATCTTAAATGAAAATAGAACTCCTTAGCTATTTCAGAGCTCACAATTGCTCTTAACTTTGAGCGAAACGAAAGTATTAAGGTCCTTGTATTCTTATCTGACCATCCATCTTCTAAGTTTAAGCTAGCCACATGTATTGACTAATTGTTCAAACTTTCAAATGCCTATTAAACATAATCACCATTAATTTTTGCGGACTTCAACATCATATACAGATCATATACGTACGTATATGTCAAGGGTTCACCAAATAATAACTACTATCTTGATGTGGTGGTAGAGTTTATCTTTCGTGATGACTCGTTTGAGATATATTTTTACTGAAATACGTGTTCCTTCGTGTCCTATTATTCCAGGCAGGTCGGATGTAGGACAAAAAACTGAAAGGAGCAATTTGAGGTCCATGAGAAACATTTTACTGCTGAATTTCAAGAGGTATGAAAGTATTAAGGTGTTTACCTCGGAAAACCGGCATTTAGTAGTGAGGTTGATTTCTCGTCATATAACAAGAGCGTTAGAAATTGTCAACCCTTAAAATTTGATGTAATTGATTCTTTTGATAAATTTGAATAAATCTGGAAGAAAGGTGGATGCAGAACAATATGGATCCATTAAATTCCATGGTGTCTCATAAGCTGCATACAACCACCTATGTATTGAAAGGAACTGGCCGGAGGTCATTTGGTGTTGGAATCCAAAAACATATATGCAGTGTGTGATGCAATATTTAACTGAGGTTTAGAGACAAATAAGATAAATTGTATGATAATCTTAGAGGTAATGAAGATTTTACATAAGATTCCTGGAATTGGAAAACTGTGTTAGCGGGACATAGACTAGATTAAAGCTTGCTCAATGCATGATTGTTTTGGTGCACGCTGATTGGCTAACTCTTATCCAATTAGCACTAGAATACTCTGGAATCTCCTTATGTAAAAACTATAAATATACTGACGTTTTCCCAATTGTGCTTCTGGCTTGCATCTTGCCTCCATCTAACCTTGTATTTGGAATATAACCTCTTTTCCTGTTCAACCGTGTTCTGATTTGGGGTCTTGTCGAGTGAATCAGTGTCGAAGAATACTAAGCAATAGAAATAGCTGGGTTATAACCGTAAGAAAGAGATTATAACAAACTGATAAGCTGGGTTACATAAAGATTGAACAGAGTATCGCGTTGATGTTCAAATCCTTCCCCAACCTCTCAATAATTCTCACAGTCCCACAAATAGTCCTCGTATATCTTTATCACTGCACCCCACCAATCCTAATGATTTGGGTTCACGAAATGTTTTTCCTCATCTACTGAAACCACGCTCTGAATAACGTAATAATAATATGTATCATCAGGACAGATACAAACCACTTTTACAGACATGTTTGAACTATATTTGTTCAAACCTTTTGCCGGATGGAAAAACAGGCATTTTGGCAATAACTTCAGGACGTCACACCATCGACGCACCTGGAAGTGATGGTGGTTGATTTTTATGCCCAAGTAAGTAAACTTAGGAAAACCGAAATTCAATTAGGCGAATCTTTCAGTGTCGTGGCTCCGCGAATAAATAATGGTCATCTTCTGTTTAAAGTACGCACAGATGTTAGCTTAGTTCTATCAAATGCAGACCTTAAACAAAAGGAAAAACGTCGCTCGACGTGGCGAGCACCCGAAATGACTCAACGATGGACTTGGGCCGGCCACATTTCCATTAGTCTACATCCAATTCTTAGTGAATTTGAAAGGTTATAATTAATCTATAGCTATGGAGAGCAGTAAAACTCGATTAGTTTTTGCGAGCTTGCTTCACTTGTGGCGCAGGTGAGATATCCGTCTTCCAAACAAAGGACGTGTTTTATAAGCAACGATTCACTTTGCTTCACCTTTTGGATGTGAAACATGGCCATCAGAAATAGAGGATATTCGTAAGTTACTACTACTCGGTCATAAACGTCTACAAAAAATTGCTCGTGTATTTTGGGACCACAGAGTAAGCAAGAAAGTAAACCAGCTTCCCCCTTGTGGGTCAATTTTTCCCAGGTCTTAGACAATCTGCAAAGCATGACTGGAGATAATAATTTGGATGCAATCAAAAACAGAGATATTTCCCAATAGTTATTGCACAGGTGACATGAACCGTTTTTAAGAGTAAGGACAACTATCTGCT